ACTTGAAAATTTAGATGTAGATTCTACTCATCAAGACACAACTAATAAAAATATTAAAAAAATAATTCGAAAATATAAATTGATCAAAATACCCCCGAAAGGTTTCGGGGGTATTTTGGTCTATTAATATTTTTCAAATTATTATTTTTTAGTATTTTTATTGGATTCTAATATGTTTTAAGAATAGACGCTCAAAATTTCAAGTGATTTGTATTTGTCTAAAAAAATGAAAATTCAAATACGAAATGAGGTCGTGATTATTAGATTGTGCCTAGATTCAATCTGAGCCATTGACTGACATTATAACTATCAGCCTGTCGGCTGATAAGTATCAACTATGGTACCGAGAACTTCTTTAACATTTTAACAGGTTATCAAACACAAAACTTCTTTCTGAGATCTTTCTTCTCACCAAAAAAGAACTTCCAATTTTCAATAAACGTTTACCTTCCCATTATCAAACAGGCCCTTAGAGAACTGGGTAAGTCACTTAACGAACCGGGACAACACCTTCTGGCTCCCACCCATTTTATAGTTTCCATTTCATTTTTTTTAGATTTTTTTGGCCCGATCCATACCGGAGGATTTATCAGATTCCCCCCTGATCAGTCCAATCGATAACCATCCAGCCACCTAATCCAGGTTAAAACACTGATAACCATCCAGCCACCTAATCCGGGTTAAAACACTAATTTCCAGTGATGGTCTGATGGACCTCAAAACAAATCAACATAACCCGGCTCCTCAGCCATTTGATCATTAAACTACATGATGATTTCTCTAATTAAGCATGCCATGACCAACAAATAATGTAGGAACCATGGGATTCCTGGTTGGTTACTTTCTAATCCTTCAAACCACAATGTGTACGCATGCATGGAGGGATTTGCATAAACATTTCATTCAACATGTACTCATTCAGGACTTGGGATGTTAAATCCATCAAATGGTTCTGTAGAGAAGAATATAACGTAAATAAAAAAAAAAGTTAAAAAATTGGCACCCCATATCATCAGCATGAGAAATCTTATTCATTGTGGTATAAGGATCCAATTTAGAATTATAATAATCATTGAATAATGGAGAACATACTCCCCATTCATATTCATCGATCAACTTATCTTGTCCCCAATTGGTTCAGCAAATTCAAACCATTGGCTCCTCGGTGGCTCACAAAATGGCAGATTGAAACCTACATCCTCTTCAATATCGTCCGCATATTTTCTCAAAGAACTTTGACAATTGTGGGTGTGCAGATCCGTACTTTCCGTTTCCATGGCTTTCAAAGTTGAACACACTCAAACTGCAGAAAACTGAGGGAATTACTCAATGCTTGCACGGCCAGATCGTATCTCAAGTTGGTAGGAGGTTTAGGTGTGCAAATGCCAATACCCATTACAGCACAACAAAAAAGAAGCAAAGTTTCCTACTTTTTCTTTTTTGAACTACAAGTATAATTCATTGAGATAATGAAGAGGTACAAAGAACAAAAAGATAAAATGGAAAGGGAAAAACTCCCAAGGAGAGAGAGAAAAAAAAGGGAGAATAGACGAAATAGGTGAGATAAGACGAAGGAAGAAAAAGAGATAGAGAGCTAGGACGATGTTCCTTCTTTCGCTAAGCGATCAACATCTCCATTGTGCTCTAAGCAAAGGTTCCTATATGCTTAGGAAACAAGGTTGACCTGCAAACATGGCCCACGCCTTCAACATTCACTGTGAAATCAGAAATGAATTTCAAAATTCCATCTATTTTCTGCAGAAGATTATACAAAAATTCAGAAGTTGTACTGTTTGTTATACCTTCAGTAGTGTTTGTAAAATCGAACTGGAACGGTTAACCAAACATGGGTCTAAAAGCGGTTTAACCAGCCTAACCGGTAAACCGGCCGATTCCAACGTTCTAACCGGACAAGTCTCGGGCGGTCAAAAAAAGTGTTGAAAAAAAAATACAAAAAAAATCTACTAAAATATGAAAAGCATATAAAGAATGATCAAAACAAAACACATTCAAATGAAGTTGAAAATTCATGAAAATATTATTTTTAACCCATTTTATATTTTTCAATGACTATTTTTAAAATTTTCTAAAAAAGAAGAGAAAATATAAAGTGAGTATTAATGACCAAAAGAATTTTTAATCTTTACCATAATGTAAAGAATATTTAAAAATACATTACAAATCAAATTCTTTATTTTTGAGAATTTATATATTTTTTTTGAAATTTTTTTTTTAAATACAGGTTGATCACCCTAACCGCCAAAAACGGTTCCGATCTAACCAAACGGTTAGTCATGTGACTCGCCGTGCCAAAATTTTAGGCATAAAAAAAGTGCATCATGATTCAATGTACTACAGTTATACGGTTTTCCAAGCTACACTCATTCTTTGTTACCAGTGATATGTTATTGGAGATTCTCCATGGGCCCTTCTCCAATTAATCTCCAACCATCTTTCAATGAGAAGTAGCATTTGAGTAATGTATAATTAGTACATAAATATGGAAAGAAAATGTATACTCGAGTCCATTGGACTATGATATCTATCACTAAAATTATAATCATTGAAAAAGGGGGAAAATCCAATCCTTGTAAAATTACTTCATAGTTGTGCGTACTAAAAGAATCAAGGGAAATTATCAAATAAAATCCCTTATACATTTTTCTCGTTTCATACATCCCTACCCCGTTTTTTCGTGATTTTTTTTTTTTTGCATAAAAGATATACCCCGTTTTCTAGTGATTTTGTTTTTTTTTTTTTTTTTTTTCATAAAAGACACTTTTATTCCCGCCACGGAATGATTACATCCGTGACACTCTTTAAACAAACCCTCACCCCTCTTCCTCTGCCATCGTCCCTCTCCCTCTTCATCCCAGCTGCCATCGCCCCTCCCTCTCCATCCCAGCTGCCATCGCCCAGCTGCCATCCCCCATCACCTCTATCTTTACATGTGATGGCTTTTCAAATGTTTCAAATTGCGCCAAGGCTCTATTAAAGCCATACTAGAGCAGTGGCGACCGCCACAAACTCACTATGTCCGTGACGGTTTATAAACTTTTTAGTGCACCAGGAAGCATTGTCGAAAGATTCCAAGATCCCCACGGCTCTAATAGAGCCGTTACGAGTGTAAAAACATCTTTTACAAAAAAACAACTAGAAACGGATATAGATATGTTAAATGAAAAATAAAGGTAATTTTAAAATATTGACAACTATGGGGGATATATCTTATAATTTCTCATAATCAATTATTTAATGAATTGTTTTGAAAATGTACACCCTAGTCCATTGGACTATAGTATCTCGCGATCAAGACTCGAGGCCTTGCCCAAGCTGACTTAATTGGGCGAGTCAAGCAGTTTAAAAACCAAAAGGAATTAAAAAAGTACCAAAATTTGTTGAAGGGTGCAGTTGGCATACGGATGCATCCGTAGCTGTAGCGGTACGGTACACCTTCAAATTTTATCATGGTATATAATTGTGACGTAAAATGTTCTTAGGATTATCTCTATTTTTATATCTAATTATAAAATTTTAAATTTAAAAAATAGTTAAAATCAAGTAGATCTATAAACATATGAAAATCTTGAAAATGGACGGTGTAGATAATATGTTGTAAAATGCACTATTTTTTAGACTTAAAATCTTTTTATTTTTCATGGTCATACATCTCGATGTCGAGATGATCAATCAAAGGGTTTTTCAACATTAAAACTAGCTTTTCCGATGGATTTTTGAGATGCATCCGTAGTTCGATATTATAAGGTCGCATCCTTATATAAACTTTTTCCTATGTTAAAAACAAAAAATACAGGTAAAATTCCATCTATACTGTAAAGAACACATTAAAAGTCCAAAAGAGATGAAAAAATTATATAAATGATAGAATTTGGAAAAGGTTGATTTATTGCAGGAAGTAAGTTAGAAAATCTTAAAAATGGGAAAATAGGAAAATACAGTAAATGATAAGAAAAACGCACAAATCATCAACAAAAAAATCAAAATTTTATATAAAACAATTATGTACTGATTAGTACAAACTACATTGTTTACAATTTTTTATATTTTTTATAGAGAACTTTAGATAAGAGATGAACAATTTAACACTTTATCCATATCTTCTTATTTATTTTTTCCAAACACCTATCAAAAACACTTGTTCTTGAGTTGGAATAGTTCCTTATGGGTATTTTGATAAATTTCCCATTTTTTTATAACTCAAGTTTGTACCATGGTACTCGACTCGGTAAACTGCAGAGCATTTAACTAGGCTGAGTCCGAGTCGAAACCGCCGAGTTTTTTAATGTTAATTCTGGCATGTGCAGCAAACTAAAAGAGCATAAAGCACATGAGTGTGCATGACCCATACCAAGAGCCAACTAAGGCAAACTCAAATCCATGAGCGTGTATGACCGACGATGTCCATTGAAAGTTTGAAACCAAAGTATGAGAATTTTCTTGATGAAGGAAAGATCGATTATAGAATATGAGAGAGAGAACCGACGATGTCCATTGAAAGTTTGAAACCAAAGTATGAGAATTTTCTTGATGAAGGAAAGATCGATTATAGAATATGAGAGAGAGAAAGAGTGATTGAGCGTGTGTGTGTGAGAGAGAGAAACAGAGAGCGGTTAACCACCTTATCGATGATTCTCAGAACGCCGCATATACATTATGCTGTATTAAATACATATGCAAAATGAAGGACATGAAAAAGAACAGGTACATAAGGAGTAGACATTAACTGAAAGCATCAAGGAATTAGCAGCATTTTCAGTTGCCACGATGAAAGGAACGCACCTCGACTTTTTTTATATGATACGTCTCTTGTAGCTCCTCTAATGAGTTTGTGATCCTTAATCAGCTCTCTCTCTCTCTCTCTCTCTCTCACCACACTCATACATATGCACACGCTGGATTGAAGTTCAGTGTCACCTTCCCCATCTACAAGAGGCCCTGATGCTGGGGAAATGCCTCAAAGGCTCTTTTTAGAACTCCACCTTTCGCATCAGTTGAATCCCTGAACTCAACGACTTCTAAAAGCCAATGTTAATGTAACATTCATTTCTGGAAATCTATGAGCCAAATCATGCAAAATTCATAGCCCATTAATATCTGTACATGCAAGAAGGGCCTGCACAATCATATCCATGGATGGTCGCTTCTCTCTCTCGTCTCTCACACAGGATAGAGCTATTTTCACCACCTCCTCTACCTGCCCTGAGCTGAACCTCCCCTCCAATCTCACATCAACCACTGCCTCCACCCATTCCTCTCTCAACTCCATCTTCCTCTTGACAAACCTGATCAAATGCCAAAGCTCGACTTCTTCATGGCCATCAACCACCAAAGGCCCCGATAATCTGTGCCCTCTCACCATCTCTAGCAAAACTACTCCATAGCTATAAACATCTGCCTTTGTGGTTATAGGAAGATTTAGAGTCCACTCTGGTGCCATATACCCCTTGGTTCCACGCACTTCGCTAAAGTTTGAAATGGACTGATTGTTTCTCCCTTCACCTCTTCGCTGAAGGAGCTTTGCCAGCCCAAAGTCGGCTATCTTGGGCTCAAAACCCGCATCTAGGAGTATGTTTTGGGGTTTCACATCGCAATGTAATACCCACTCTAGGCACTCATGATGCAAGTAAGCTAGGCCCTTTGCTGTGCCTAGAGCAATCTCAAGCCTCTGGTTCCAGTTCAGAGTGCTTGCCTCCAAGAACAAGTGCTTGTCTAACGACCCATTTTCCATGTACTCATAAACTAATAGCTTATGTGAACCCTCAGCACAAAAGCCCCACATCCTCACTAAGTTTATGTGGTATATCATCCCTATTGTGCTCACTTCTGCCCAAAATTCTTCCTCACCTTGCATCACATTATGTAGCCTCTTCACCGCAACTATCCGACCATCACTCAAAACCCCCTTATAAACAGCACCAAAAGCCCCCTTTCCCAGCTCTTCTTTGAAGTTCCTTGTAGCCTGTTTAAGCTCTTTGTATGTGAACCTCCTGAATTGGCTTGATATACCCTTGTAGCCTTTCTCTATGGCTTCAGGAATACCATGTTTCCTATAAAGGACGAACCACCCAACCGTTACGAATATAATCTCAATCCCACCAAATGCACTCACAAACCAATACAACAGAAGAGTGGTACCCTTGCTCTCCCCATAAACTTCAAGCCCCGCTGTGACTGCAGCTTCACCAGTTGGGCATCTCAATTCAAGCTCTCTAAAATCTGTTCTCTGATTCCCAGAATGGTTGAAGGCTACATCTATGGCTACTTTTATGTGCATGCTTCCTGGAAAACTTGTAGATGTGTATCCATTAAAGAGAGCACTTTTGAAATAACACCCTCCATCCCCACTAATTCTATACATGAAACCTGCACAAGAACAATCATCTAAGCATCTATTTCTACAAGCCTCCAATGTTATTTGCGTAGTATAATTGATATCATAGCCATAAAAATCAGTTTGAGGAAGCTCTATAAACTCAATTTTCAGAGGATCACAGGTTGCTTTGGACTTGGGTATGCACCCTTTTGTCCAGTCAGTTGGGTCGCTTGCCTCAAAGTGTGGGGGGCATGCACATGTTGGCTGTGGCTTATAAGTACATATCCCATTTCTTCCACAAAGTCCATGAATTCTACACTGCTCTGCCATGGCTAACCATGTAACTGACCAAAGCCCTGTTGATTCATTGAGGCTATAAAGCCTTAGGTTACCATCATAATCCATAGTCATTCTCCTCTTGAGCTTTGAACCCCAATCAGAAGCATAAAATTCAAATCTATCACTAGAAACAAACCTCCCCAATTCATCATAGAAAGCATACCTAGAGCTATTATATGATGTTCTCTGATTAACCCATAAATTGTAATCAGGGTTTGGCCAGTATATGCTTGAAATCTCAGGACCATCATACATGATTCTAAGAATATTATCATTGTCAAAATAGAAGCTGAAATAGCCTGGGGAATACATACCTTCTCCTCTACCTGAGATCAATCTCTTCCCTTTTGTGAATGGTTGGTTTGGGAGGAGAGTATCAGTCGGGAACTCAAAGCTTTCCCAGATGATTCGATCTTTGGGGTCTCTCAAAACCAGGTTTCCTGTGTCCAAGAGCTCTGCATAGCTGCTTGTTGAGTTTGTGTTTGTGCTCCAAATAACTGCATCATTTGCATCAATTAAGACCAAGTTTCCATCTTTCCATAAAGAGAGTCTCGAGTGTCGGCCATTAACGGGGAGGTCTCTGCTAGCCATCCATGAGATGGTTTTGTTTGCAGAGTTGGTGAACCAGATAGCGAAGGAATATGCATTGAGGCCCACTTCATAGAATCCAGCTGAGAAGGAGCCGTCAGGTGAAACAAGGATATCAGAGTGGGACTCTACATGGAGAGATGATCCTTTGTTTAACCTCTGCATTTTTGCATTAACTTTTGAGATTGAGAGGAAGAGAGACATAAAAATGACAAGTAACAGAGAGAATTGATTTCTCATTGTTGGGGTGAACTCCCAAAGATTCTAAATTTCAAAGGGAGATGAAAATCACAAAAAAATTGTTTAGAGCGTGTATAGTTTTCTCATAAGTGGGTTTTGCAGGAATTAGGAGAAATGAGATGAGAGGGAGGATTGAGAAGAGAGAGAACAAAACTTTCATGAAAGATTTAACGTTTGGGATGAGAGAGAACAGTGGGTTCTACAGAAAAAATACGAAGGGAGTGGGGTTGTTGACAGCCCCTTAAAGTGCCAAACATGAGAAGATGCATTGAATATGTGGTCTTCTGTCTTTCCTCGTCTTTCTTGATATTTAATGCTTTTGTGTTGGTAAATTTTGACATCTCAGATAGCTCGTTAAAAATTAATCACAACAGTTATCCATGAGGTTGAAGTCAAGAAGGCGTGCAGTCCATATTGATAGAGTTGCTAGTCTATTGTATTTATTTGCCGTTGAAGTCAATTTTGATGAGTGTTGTTGACTAGGGTTTCCAGTCTATTGTATTTATTTGATTGTCCACTAAACTCTGTTGGGTGTGCATGAATTTGAGAAGTGTGGGTGCTCAAAATTTCACCTACTATTATTTTATTTTATCATTTATTTTTTTTATTTTTTTTATTTTTTTTATTACCAATATTCGTGCTTGATGATTAAAAAAAAAGAAATTACATCATTGAAAATAACAAAAGAGGATAAAAAAGCACCACCCTTAACTAAAGCATCAGCTACACAATTTGTTTCACGACATACATGTGAAAAAGAGACAGATAACGACGCAACAGCATCCAAAATCGGTAACCATGAAGAACAGAGTCCCCAATGGACCCTCGTTCCTTATTGCACTATCTAATCACATTCAAAGAGTCTCCTTCTATCATGTAACTATTACCAAGATTTTTAGCAATGAAAATATTCAGTCCCCTAAACAAGGCACTAAGCTCAACACAATTCTGCATAGATAAATAAAATATTTTCAAAACTATCATGCAAAACTCCACAAATCCTAGCTTGGCCCGGGTCACCAAAGGAACTTCCGTCAAAATTAAGCTTTAGACAGCCCAAAGGTAGAGCAAGCCACCTAACTTTCGGTCTACCAATACCAATGCCTATAGAGAAAAGGTTAGTGAGATTGACAAAAACATCTAACTTAGATATTTCTATTCACGCACTATTTTTTTTTTTTTAAGTGACAAACAGTAATGACCTGGGATCTTTTATGAAAGAGTTAGGAAATGTTACAAAATAAAGCAGCAAAGTCTCAGTAGTTATATTCCATATAAATTACTTGGGACCAACAGTTTATGTTGTTAAAATATAGGAACTTGACAGGGACCGGACCAATTCCGATTAGGTGGATCCAACTTGGACGATTGTTGAATTGCACGGCTCTACATATTTATATCAAGTAGTGGGGTTACGTTGTGCTGCACGACAGAAATGAAACACACCCTACCACCCCTAAAATATTCAAGCATCAAACAAACCCTAAATATCATTATTTAAATTCTTTATATATAGGAATCTTAAAGAGGGGAAAATGGTTGACAAAGGAAGACAAGCGTCCACACACACAACTGTACTAAATACCCTCCCGGGGCTGCCCTTGCATGTTTATTTCTTCCGAAGATGGAATGAGGAATTCGTCAGGCTAGGTTCCTATTCCAGTTGAAGGTCTTACCGGTGTTGTCCGATTCGCTTTAGAGCTTTCCTTAGTTTGGTGGGAATTGACCGATTTGGTGGAAGACTTTAGAATTTAAAAAATAATTTAATATAAATAATATATATGCTTCAATTAAAAAGGAGATAATTGTATGCTTCAACCGAAGATTCCGAATCAGATTGAAGCACATAATTGTATCAAATTCGCTTCGTTCTAAGCCAAAAATCCAAAAACTTCAACCTCTTCGACCAAAGAAAAGTAAATTTGATAGCATTGGGCCATTTCAAATACTTTAAAGCAATGATTTAAAGATCATTTTAATCCGAGTGCTTGGGGTGATTCTTGCCTAGAACTAGGTATCGGCTTAGCTAAGAATGAATCCCTAGTTCTTAAAGAAGTGGGTAAGTCATTAAGGAACTGAGACAAAACCGCCTAACTCCCACCCATTTTATATTTTATTTGTATTTTTAAGATATTTTTTCAAAATGATCTTATCAGATTCTACCCAAATCGGCTCAGCCAATAGCCATCCAGCCACCTGATCCAGGTTAAAACACTACTTTAAGTGATGGACTTCAAAACAAATCAATATCACCCGACTCCTCTCCGCCATGAACACGAATCCTTCAAACCACAATGCTTACACATGCATGGAGGGATTTGCATAAACAACTCATTCATGAATAACTGCAACATGTGCCCATTCAGGAATTGGTATGTTAAATACATCAAATAATTCTGTAGAGAAGAATATAATGTATTTTTTTAATTAAAAAAAAGGTTAAAAAATTGGCACCCAACATCATCAGCATGAGAAATTTTATTCATTTTGGTATAAGGACCCAATTTAGAATATAACAATCATTGAATAATGGAGAACGTACCACCTAGTCATCTAATTATCAAAGAAAGAGCATATTCATTGATCAATTTATCTTGTCCCCACTTGCTTCAGCAAATTCAAACCATGGGCTCCTTGGTGGCTCATAAGCATCACAAAATGGCAGATCGAAACCTAGATCCTCATATCATCCACATATTTTCTCAAAGAACTTTGAGAATTGTGGGTATGCAAGAACCGCTCATGCTCATCACTCCCAAATGAATGGTTAGAATCATCCCAAGGTTCATGAACAATGGGACTCACAATGCTAGTAGGCTCAAGAAAGCTATTGCGTGAACCAGATCGGGGTCGCGGCCTTGCCCACCAGTGGCTTGTCACTGCCTTTCCATCCTCGACAGGCTTATTTTCCCAAAGTGAGTGCTCCCCAAAAGCTGTGCTGGAGCAAGAAGCGTCAAAATGACTCTTTGCCCTCTGGTCCTTAAGAAAGTCCCTTTCTCTCTCTTTTCCACTTGACTCGCAAAATGGAGTAACACTTGGCGGAGCTCCATTGGCCCCCACCGAACACAATGAATCTCCACTCCTTGCTTCATGGAGGGGCCTTGAAACATAATAATGGTCAAGCAAGTAAGGGCAGTCTGCTTGTTCAGTCTTGAAAGTTAATTGCTCGTCGCTCCGATTCTGAACCATGAATGGTGGCCCCATCCAGGTCTGACCCACTTGGGCTTTGTTCGATAAGGACAACCTCTGATGGAGCTCTCCAAGCGAAACACTTCTCGTGTTATCAGAGAATCTTTGAGGAATTTGATGGCCTTGAACTTGTTCTTGGAAATCTTGTAGCGTTGATAAGAACTGCTTTCCACGAGCATTTGGCTCCCAACTCGGGTAGTTGTTCTTAAAGCTACAAGGTAGAATAAGAAGAATAAAGGGCGAGCATATATTCACTTTCAGATATTTGTGTATGTGTGTGTGTTAGAAATGTGAAGGATTTGTAGAAATTTAACACAAGATTGTGGACCAAGAAACCATGTCCATTTATCTCAAGTAAAAGTACAGAGAAGTATTTGGTCTGAGCAAATTCAGTTTGTGTTAAGCTTTTGCCATTGATCTCAAAAGTAAATATCCATTCATTAAAAGACGAGCCTACTTTAATCCAATATACTACAGAAAAATGGGCCTTTGGAGTCCAATAAAATGACCAAGAGCGATACAGAGTGTGAGACCCACCATCGGGGTCACATGCTCCAGTGGGCCTCACCCCCACTTCATCCCCGCCCATTTCATTGGATAATGGTGCCCCTGAGAATGGTTTTCCAAAGTCTTCTAGATTATAATACTCTTCCTCACATGAGTATGTGGCAAATAAATGAAAAGTTCCATTCTTTCGCAAACAAGAACTAAACCCAGAGGTGTGAAACGGTATTCTTGAGCAGCCAGCCAACAGAATAGGAAAGGATGAGGGGGAAAGGACACCATGAAGCCATGATTTTCAATATACCTCAAGAAAGACTTCTCCATTTTCCCTTGACAACTTCTCTTCTCCTTGGATGTGTGGTATGGGGATCCATACTTTCTGTTTCCATGGCTTTCAAAGTCGAACACACTCAAACTGCAGAAAACTGAGGGAATTACTCATGCTTGCAATGGCAGAACGTATCTCAAGTTGGTAGGGCGATAAGGTATGCAACTGCCAATACCCATTACCGCAGAACAAAAAAGAAGCAAAGTTTCCTATATGCTTAGGAAACAAGGCTGACCTGCAAACATGGCCAACGCCTTCAACATCCACTGTGAAATCAGAAATGAATTTCAAAATTCCATCTACTTTCTGCAGAAGAATATACAAAAATTCAGAAGCTGTACCGTTTGTTGTACCTTAAGTCGTTACTCGGTGTACCACAAATTTTAGCCATAAAAGTGAAGTGCACCATGGTTCAATGTACTACAGTTACATTGTTTTCCAAGCTACACCCATTCTTTGTTACCAGTGATATATTATTGGAGGTTCTCTATGGCCCCTTCTCCAATTAATCTCCAAACGTTTCTCAATGAGTTGTATCATTTGAGAAATGTATAATTAGTCCGTAAATATGAAAAGAAAATGTATACAGTAATCCATTGGACTACATCTTCCTCTAAAAGTAAATCATTAAAAAAGGGGAAAAAAAATTTTACACCTGCCACCTATGTATTTCCTTTTTATTTAATAAAAGTGGTGTTTTCAAAAATTGGACTGGTGCGTCGAACCAGTGACCCACCAGTTCGAGTCAAACTGGCCGAGTTGCAAAGTCATACCAGCTGACTTGGTCAATTGTTTTTACAAAAAGAGAAAACAGATAAAAAAGGGCAAAGAATAACTAAAAACATATAGAATCAAATATTGAAAACCAAATATTTAAATTCATTTAATAGGAGTTATAAATCAAAATCAGATAAAAAAAGTAAAAAAAAAAAAACTTTAATATAGAAACTAGCAGAAAAATAGCCGGGAAAAAAAAAAATCGTCAAGATTTTTGGTTTTGATTCAGAAAATCTTGTTAGGGCTTTTGTAGATCAATTTGTTAGGAACATAATGAAATAAATTTGAATGAATTTGGTGAAAATATGTGAGAAAATTTAATAATTTCCTATTTCGAGCTCAAAAAAACCCCAAAATTTGAACTCTCAATTTTTCTCTTTTGCTTATCAATCCAACAGTCTGTAAGAGGACTCCAATACTGACATTTTGAAGCATATTAGTTTATTTGGTTGAGAAATGAGAGTGAGAATGCACAAAAAGCGGATTGGGTTTTAGAGCTCAAAAAATGGTGAGATTTTTATGAAAAAATCTTACCCATATGCAAATTTTGATCAAAGGAATGACTTTAGGGGGTTAAGAGGGATCAATTTGTTTCCAAATCGATCACAGATATGGATCATTGGATAAAAAATAAAAAAGAAAAATTACAGGCCTTTTTTTTTTTTCGTTTTGACCTTTTCTCCAATTGGGGCGACTTGCCAGATTGTGGGCAAGAACCGGCCTAGTATCCAGTCAGGCCCAAGTCGACTCAATGAGTTTCTGATCACTGATAACCAGCATCATTATTCAGCCCTTAGTTTTTGGCATATTTTATACAAAGATGGCTCCATGCATTTAAAAGATTATATAATTGCTTTCTGTGTTTGAAAAATCAGCCGCCTTGAGGAACAAGAGGCCTCACGGAAGCACATAGGCCTAGATGACTGCCTAGGCATCGAGGTGCCTGGGCACCCGCCTAGGCGCTCGAGGGCCTGCCTAGGTGCCCTCCTTCTCCTAGGCACCTAGGCAGTACCTCAAATACCTTGGCTTGAGGGTGAAAAAATGCCAACTGCCAAGGCAGCATACCATAAGGGGGGAAAGGGTTTTGGAGGGCATTCTAATCCCCCAAACACTATTTTTAATTCAAAGTGAGGAAAACTCAACATTTCAAGATTTTTGAGATTTTTGGAAGCTTAAATTTTTTTGAACTTTTCGATTTCGAAAACGAAAAGCATCCAACCCTATATTTTTTGTGGCTTGAAGTGGTTGTCAAAGAAGACTCTTGGCGACACATGGTTACCAATTCGAGCCAATATCTATTGTATTTTGAAAGGTTAGAATATTTAATTTTTTTGTTTTGGGTTAGATGATTTCTATGAATTTCAGGTTTTTTTTTTTTTTTTCCTCCCCTTTGTTTGGTTTTGTTCTTGCATTTCTTTTCCTAGTTTATGTTTGGAACTTTGGATTTGTGGCCCATATTCAAGAGCAGGTTTTGGTTGTGGTTAATGGCATTTTACTAAGATTGGTAACCCAATCTTAGCACAATTTCAAGCAAACTTAATCCAAATGGATTTTTTCTAGTTTAGCTATCTTAAATTTTTCTCTTGATTGAAATGGGAATCTTTTGATTTTGTGTATTAATTATTTATCAAGGTTTGGTTAGTTTCATGTTTCAAACTTTAGGGATTTAGAAAATGTTTTCTATTTGCATTTCTGAAAAAAAATGGTTTCTGACACAGTAAAATCAATTTGGTTTCCAACCCAACCCCTCAAACATCATTATGGGGCCTAAAACCCCACCTTCCTCAATTGGCCGCCAAGGGAACTAGGCTCCAGCCTAGGTGCCAGCCAAGTAGCCTAGGCGGCCTGTACCCTTGGCCAGGTAGGCGGTCAAATCCAAGTTTTACAACAGTGGCTGCTTTAGAAAAAAAGTGTTGGTTTAGCTTAATGACTAGCAAATCATCCAGATACCTTGTTAAGTGGAGAGTATAACTAGAGAACCATTTAGTTATAGGAACACAAAACACTAGCCTTTTTAAAAATTTAAGCAACTCTCTTACCAGTTTTGATTAATAAAATTGGTCACTCATCCAAAAAGAGTGTGCTAGATATCATAATATCAGTAACTGTTCCAATGACACAGGGTTCTGGTCCCCATCACCATGAAACCAAAAAATGAGTTGAAATCTATCAGTTTTAAGTCTCTATCAGTGAGTGAAAGAGCGTACCTTTGGCAGCAAAAAGAAAAGAACGTAAGGAGTTAGGAATATGGAAACCATATCTTCCAATAACATCAACCCAGTATACTGCAAAAAGCACCAAATGACCAACTATAAATTTCCATAGCAAATGGAATATGAATTGACAAGGCATAATCATCTGTGAAAGAAAGTTGGTAAACTAAAGTGATCAGCAAATTATACAATGATTATCAAAAGAAATTAAGAACGTACTAAATAGAATCAATCCTGCTTTTGTCCCTCAGCATAAAGGACCAATTAAAATAATAGAAGTGGATTTACTCTGTCTAGTTAACAACTATGATGCTAAATGCACTTCATCTGAAAGAAATTATTGTGCAGAGAAGTACGGTTCCTTGAAATTATACAATTAGCATTGACACATGTTTGATATTTTATCCTGACTACATAAAAATTCCAAAGAAACCTTTGCAAGGTAACTAAGCTAACATTGTCCCAATAATCAAAGGTCTCAACAGATAGGCATTCTTATGTTTGACATGGTGTGAAAGCAGTAACGGGTAAAAGAAATATTTGGTGATGCATTATAAATTAAGAGAAAAATTATAAATTTTAGATTAAGATTTATTTTGTGATGAGGAAAAGATTATAATTAAATATAGCAGGAAAATCTATTGAAAACAAACATTCAAAATCCATCATATCATACATGATCCTGTATGTAACAACCATTACTGTATTGAACAAAAAAAATATGAGTAAGTGAAAACATCTAATAAGCCACATCACCCCACAAAAACACTGTATTTAAATATAAGCTACAATCAACCATAACATTCAGAAATAGTTTACCTGAAAAAGTGCTTCAAATTCAGAACGGACATGATTGGAATTTTCTTTACCACGCCAACTTTTTGGCATATAATGTGTGTGCTGGACAACAATAGACATAGCACCTTCGGGATCAAAAACGTGTAACTCATCAGGTATAACAGCCCTGCTTATTGCCGTAATGGTTCCAAAAATAGCAGCAAACCAGAGTAAGTTGCGACCATATAGCTGCACAGAGGAGATGAGTGCAAAATTTTAGGAATCAGAAGAAGACACTACCAGTGTGAGAAGTGTAGACCAAAGGGTCATCACCATTCATTAATGATGGATGGTGATGGGACTTGAACCTGCCCACACATTACCCATGGTGGGTCCCCCTCTCTCCACATCACCACCCATCATGTCAAAGAACAACCCAACATGCAATGATCTTTCCATAGTCCACAGGACTAGAGGATAGTTTCACATTTTATTCTGAATTGAAAATATTGCAATGCAAAGGCACTATAAGGTAAAGCAATTAAACAACTTACTTGAGCTTCTAGCAGAGACTCATCCAGAAAAGCAATTATAATGAGAACAGCCGCAAACCCACCAGCCACAAATGATATAAATTTCGCTATCAGTGATACCATAGGACAGGGGAACTGTTTCAAGTATTCTACAGAATGTACACTGCCAGTATTGAGCCTATGTCTGAACAAATGATCCACCTGAAAAGAAACACAACATAAAAATAATTCAGCTATAATGAGGTTAGAAATCTACCATCTATTTGAAATATCGTCAAAAAATAAAGGGGAGAAAAGCTTCTATTTGGTTATTGTTTATTTACTGGTAAAAGCTTTCATGACTGAGCAAAAAGGTTTCATCTGTGAATTAAGGTCTCAAACATCTGCCTTAGAATAACAATTCATCATTACCAAACCAAAAAAAAAAATAGATTAAAAAATAAAAGATAATAATGAAAATATATTCACAGAAAAAATAGTGATGATATAAATTACAGAAATAGAAAAAAGAATTAGTTTCCAGGCATGGTTTGCTTTTCTAAATCTGGGGAAATCGACTTTTTAGAAACTGCTGTATTGTTTAAATTTTTGTCTTTTATAATTTTCTTCAAAAATTTTAAGATGACTTGGAGAAGGATCACCAAGTCCAATAAGGAAAAATAATACCTGATTAGGAAACTCCTCACTGCTAGAAGTCTGCTTCTAGGTAGGAGGACAATGGTGAGAGAGTATGCATATTACAGCACAAAAGCACTATCAAAATTTAAAAGTTAATAGTGATGCAACAAAGAAATCTTATCAGAGCATGACAGTGCATATGATGTGCTCTGCAATGGGTATGTATATGTGGAACATATAATACCTAAGTATGGAATTAATATCTCACATAAAATGATGAGTATCATGCTAATGAATTTTCAATAAGAAAATAATAATTTGAAATATGGTTCCTTTGCTTAGTTCAGTTTCCAAACAAATTTAAATTCTTATCTTAATGAAAAGTAACGGTTCAAAAACAGTGAAAAAAGTAGACTAATGAGATAAGAAAAATATAAAACGGAAGAGGGTAGAACATATTTCAATTAGAGTCTGCCAATAGGGCAATCTAACATGCATCTCTTGCTATATCTTTATGTGCCAATATCCAGCCCATATTAAGACACAAGAAAAATAGCAAATCCTATCTTCATCCTGATAATCATTCCATCCCATGTCCAAACTGAAAGTAGCACAATATAACTTGTTATACACACATTAAATAAGGAATCTTGCCTCAAAATTGTTATCAATGGATAGCAGCGTACTAATTGGCTTCTTAAGTCAAATGTTGCACTAACTTCAACAACTAGAGGTCACAAAATCAATTAAGAAAAAAGGTAAAAGGAGACGAAAATACTGTAACACAGAACAAAACCAGAAGCTACCTCATTAAATTCTCTAAGTAGCCATTTTGACAAATTTGACCACCTTCGAGATGATGCTGTGCTTGGATGGTTGTAGAACTGTTCCGCATGCCTTAGAAAGCAATATACCAACATAAAAATAGCAAGGAAAGGAGATACCAAAAGCATCCCAAACCCAAAAGCCATAAGCTTTTTCCTTAATGCAAAGGGGTTGTTGACAAAGTCTCTCCGAATCATGAAGTTCCTACAACATGAAATTCTTAGATAATCCAACCACAATCTCATGGATGAACGCTTGTATGCAATCCACAATGCAACCTACCATTTTATTTAGAGACAGACTTATTTTGCACCTAAGTGACTTAATTCTAAAAATTGGAAATGAAATAGTATCCTCAGATAACAACTTCAAGAAGAAAATGATGAACTGCATTTGAGAAGTAAACAGGAACAAGAAACGGGAATCAGTTTCCAAGGTTCTTTTATATGAATTGTGTTATTTCTTTTCAGGTTGACAAGGTTTAGGGCAAATACAACTGTAGGATACATATGCAGGCGCTTCTATTTTCTTTTCTTCCTTATCACTACTTTCCAACTAAAAATAGTAGTCACACCCAACAAATGTATAACACACATAGCTTGGAGCATTTGACAATAACCTTTTAACATAAATCAGATAATCCTCGTAAAGGATGTCAAGTACACCAGGATGGATCAAAACTCAAAAAATCTTAGATGCAATTTTCTGCATCAGAAACCTAGAGGCAAAACCTGGAAAATTACCATAAAATTTGAATTTCAAATTTATAAACACATCAATGTAGATCTGTACAAAGAAATGTTTTCTTGCAGAACTCCAAAAGGAGTTCCTCAAGAATAATGTCTCTGAGAAGACTTATTCAGTGACCGGGATGTCATAGCCAATAAGAAAAATTATAATTAAACCATATACAATAAATTAATAATGAGGACTAGCACTCAATAGATTATTAACAAGGACTGCAAAGAAAGAAGTTACACAACTACAGAAGTGTAGATCCTCTAGGGTGGCATAAAGTCCCAAAAACTCTCCCTACCCTAGCATTAGTATTAAAAAAATACAAAAAGGTTCAATAATGACCAAGGTGTGTACCTATCAAACATATTTTGCAATATACACCAATTCAGGCACCACTCAAGGGTCTTTGTCAATATGAGACGGTTCTTGCGGCCACCACCATTGGCAGAATTAATAGCAGGACCAGCGCCAGGGACCCAATAGGGAACTGGAACAGCGAGAACACCTTTATTTAACATCGCCATCAGGTAGTTTTCCCTGCGCATGATGCGCATTACTATGTCATGGGCAGAGAGATCCTTAACCACAGATGGACAACGCACTTGTGCAACTTTCTCTAAAACTGCTGACCAGGATATTGTCTGAACTTCACGGTCATTGATATTGAGACTGCAAAAGCATTTATGAATGTAAATCTGAGTACATAACACAACTTATGAACAATATATCAGAAAGAATTATATATGTAAAGAAGTATTTGGTAAGTTAAAAGGACCATGAAAAGCCATAGTCCATTTTGATCACCTCGGACTAATGAAATGATAGACGTTGATAGACAGTATGGCCCAACATTGGGTGGCCTGTTCTCTTCTAGTAGGTCCCACCTTGTCTCTCACCATCCATCATTTCATTTGGACACCCCATTGGAACATGGTTTTCCACAGCTGTAGGTTCAGTCTATCCCTTTATATTATCTGACCTGTTGTTGTAGAAATTACGAACAGCAATTGTGCCCTTCAACTGAGCAAAAAACCTCAAGAAACAGAAGGCCCAATAAATGGAAAATAATCCCAAGTACACTGCAACGATTCCCTTGAAAAGAGTGAATGGCATGAATGGTTTGCTATGAACAACTTCCTTGACAAGGTCACATGGTTTACTTCCCGATTCAATGGCATCAACTCCACACTTAGCATTGCGAAGATTGTGCCAATCCACAAACAAAAGGAAAAATCCCGAAAAACAAATCATGAAACCCAAGCTCAAAATTTCCACTATCCACTTGGTTACAATGCACCAAAGCCCTTTTTCACAGTAGTAACTGTATACCCTTGAATAGAACAAATCCAAATCTGTAACTGTTTCCACTTTCAAGCTTTCATCATTAAGAAGACCAGGAGGATTCTCAGTGTCACCACTTGGTAACCTCTGATACTCAGACAACTCAATTTCTGGAGGAATATCACTTAGCAGTCCTTTAGTTACAGATGCATCTCCATGATATACATTCCATGGCCATCTAATTTTTCCCAGCAGCATTTTCACCCCACTGGCCACTTAACATTTTACCTATTCACTTAGTGTCAATGAAAATATGAGTGCCATTTGCCCATCTGATAAAGTTGAAGCATATTTTGCACCACAGAAGGATCAACAAACAAAAATATATTCCTGAAACCGAATGTCACATATTATCAGGAAATGAACCATAAATTTTCGTTATAACTTAATTAAGCTAAATCCATAAGGATATCAGTGCAGAACGCAGTAAACAGCATCTTTCCAAAAAGGGTCCTCAATTAATATATAGACAGGAAAGTATAATATAATTCCATGCCATCACACAATGGGGTGAACACAGTTAAGGAATACTCAGAAAAAGCGCGATGTGCATAAAGTCACAAAACAATCTAATTTACCAATACTAAGGAAATTGATATCAAGACATTTGACAAACACCAAATACTAAATAAGGATCATTTATGTTGTTCCCTCTAAATAAGCCCATAAACAACTACGTAATAATGGCTAAATTGGTAACCATCTGTTCCATGTAAGTTCCAATAAATAGTAAAATAAAAAATAAAATAAGCCCAATGTACTGCAGCCACAGGAACTAAAAGCTCCAGCTTCCCATCAACAAAGATCACAGTTCCAGTAAGTGGGTATCAATCAAAAGCAAAGGGACGAGGACCAGGATCCTACTAAGTGGATGGAGATTCTGATATTAAGAGCAGCCATAATAAAGTCGCTGAACTTGTACAGGTGATCGAACAAATTGACAAAATTTGGCATTTCATGTGATAGAACATGCTCAGTTGTTAGGTTCATTGCTGGTATTTGTATAACCAGGAGATCAGTACACCAATAAAAAGGCTCAAGGAAAAAAAACAATGACCGTACTATAGAAATATTTTCCATGAACTAAATCCATTCAAAGATTAAGGAGCATGTATAAGAGCACATTACGTGTAGATGATGCTGATTTGCAGTGCTTTTGAAACACACTTTGTTCTTTTACACCAAGAGGGATACATACACAGAAATCAGGTTCCTAATACAGAAGATATAATAGGAGCGCATATTAGTTATACTTGTCATTTCTTTATTTATATTGATTGGCGTAAACATATGATTTCTTCAATAAAATCATGATAATGCCATTTGATTCTTTCCATTTGTCAACGGGATAATGTAGTCATCAACCAAGACTTCCACAATTCGTATGCTTCAGAATAAGGAGAATTTATTCTTTATATTAAAATCTTCTTAGAAAATGCAGTCCACTCCTGCAAAGATTAAACAGAAAACAAAATTTGAGGTTTAATCATATAGCCTAGACTATGGAGCTCTTCATCTAATCCTCCCTACGGCACGTTGTGATCCTGCATTTTTTCCAATCAAAATTCTAATAAAAATATTTCATCACAAATGCCTGATACTAATCTTCAAACAAAAATTGAAAATTCATATTTTTACCATAGGTATCTGAATCCCAAGAACTGCCTGTAATAGATGAAAATAGAATCCCAATAACTACCTATAATAGATGAAGATAGTCCGGATCATCAAGAAACCACAATTTTAGTTCACTGAAGCACAGGCAGTCAACCATTGCAATAATTCCACAGGTTGACTTCAATCCCAATATTTTAAACGAAGAAGGAAGAAAAACAGGACAGAAAGAAATGGAAATAAGGTACACTTTTCCAATCAACTGTTCAATAGATGCAAGAACCATACAAGAAACAAATTTTGAACACAAAATTTCCTGAGATTTAAATAACCAAAAGTATAATACAATACATGACCAGAAAACAACAATAATCAAATCAATAGACAAAGAACAACCCAAATAACACTGACAGAGATCTTAACCATTATGCAACAGCTCACGCCACAGTAATTAATTAAATTATTATTATTTCTACTAAAAATACGTCAAATTCCATTAAAAAAAAAAACAAAAGGCCGTAATTCAGCTGTACCTAATAAAAGGGGCGAAGAACATAAAAAATAATACTGAAGAAATTAAGAAAAACCCGGACCCTTGTGCACCAGACCCTGCGTACAAACTCACACCCATTAATGGAATGATTAAAAAATGATTTGCATTATATTTTCCAAATAATCAGAGAGAGAAAGAAGAGAGAGAAAACCGACTAAAAAAGAAAGGGGAAACTTTCCCTGTCTGGTTTTTGAAGCGGAGAGAATGATCGAAATAAAGGGAGACGGGAGAAGGGTGAAGAGAAAGGGATTCCAAAAAGATTTTAAAAATTTTTTGGTGCAGTAAAAATGACTGGATTGCCCCTTACCGGAACTTTTTTAGAATGCTAAATACGCCCTTTAGTTCTAAAATATGACATTTATGCCTTTGACTGGTGCTCTTTCCACAAGTCACTTGAGGATATCGAACTTTTCTTGAAATGGCAATGATACCCAATTGCCGTATTGAAGGGCCGTATTTCTTTTTTTTTTTATTTAATAAAAAAAGAGTAAAGGGCTTGGGACGAGTTTTGAATGAATTTTTTTTTTGATCTTATCATTAATTAATGAGAAATGATTGAGACGCTCCTATACGGATGTGTAGGACTTCAAAGATCATTATTAAATTTAGTACAAATCTCTAAAAGAATTATCAAAAGTTGTTTTTTTTAGAGATATGTGCTATGATCATTTGGATTCCTATTTACATGGGTGTGGAAGGGTTTAATAGGATCATTACTCTTAATTCATACATAAAATACAAGATGTTCAAGAGTACAGAAATGAAACAACCAACAGAGAGGTAATATGGACTCCTTTTTTGGTAAGAACATCAGTATCTTCATTCACATCTTTATAATAATGTTGGACCGTTGCCACAGAGGTTGGGATATTTATGTTGGACCGTTGTCATAGAGGTTGACAAAATATTTCAAATTTGATAAAAAATAATCCTTAATCTCTAAAAAATATGGGCATTTCTCTTACTCTAGGCAATAACATTTGTTAAGTCTTCTTCGATAATCATGCTCTTTTCCAAAGTGCATAGTAATTTCAAACATTCTAATAAACCTTGTACTTTCGCCTCGTTTGCTATTGTAATACCACAAGGACCCTCAAATTATTTCTGATGAGTCCACCATAGCCAGTTGGCTCTAGATTGCCAGGTGAACTTCCATCAAAATTAAATTTGAAAAAATTCAGTGGTGGTATCCAAACAACATCACTACGAGTGTTGTTGGTAACACCCATAGTCGCCATTGCCAAAAGATTGCTAATAATAAGACTTTGAGAAATGAATCCGCTATCTTTATGTGCAAAGAACCAATCAACTGTACTTGCCAAAATATTCGAGTTTAGAATGAATTTTGGTAGAATTCCATGTGGAATCTTGTGAAGAGCGCATAGGAGTACACTATATACATATTCTCTCAAGCAAAAGAGCTACTTGCGAGAATTTTATGGAATTTTATGGAATTTTTTAATCCACATACAAATCACCGGAAGCATATTTTTAAAAGTAAGGTGGAATTTTGAGTTTCTAAACATTTAGATTGTACCATCGATTAAACGGTTCCTAATCAAATGTTAAGAGTTAAGACATTTTTTTAGATGCATAGAGAGTGCGTGTGGTTTTTTTCTTGTTTTTGCCAAAATTGGTCTGTACTTTGAGGAGATTGCATCCAAGGTCACATATGCTCCTAAGTAGGGTTTCAACCAAGGCAGTGGATGATAGAGCATCTGATATTTGGGCTCTTGTGAAGATCAAAATAAATATTTTGGCTCTTGTAAATTATAGATATTAGTCCAAATTTCGGCCGGTTTTTTGCCTTGTTTGTTCCATTTATTTTCTTCTTAGAGGAATCAAATCCTCTGTGGAGGTTATCAAAGGGCCATGCACCTGAAACAAGGACTAGACCAGAGACCTTTAGCCCTAGTGTTGTGGATCTTCACTCTTAGTCTCGCGCACTAAGGTTTCATTGTCAAAAGTGAAAAGATCTGCTGCTCCTAAGGGAGCATATTATTTATTTTCTTTCTTGGGTAAAACCTAAGCTAGGAGTATTTTATAGACTCTAAATTGGAAATTTAGCCTTTTGAAACTAACAACCAATGTCCACACAAAAAAGATACAAATCGTTCTATTTGCTTTAAGGGAAAAAAAAAAAAGCCCAAAACTGAACAGGTGCTTTCCAATTTTTTGATGGCAAGATCTAAGTATTGAAGAACTCAAACTTCATTGCTTTTAAAAATAACTCTAAGGTTGATCCAAAATTTTCAAGCTCCCCAAGCAACTCTTGTTTGAGGTAATAAATGTACATTATGCTCCCTAGAATGCTAGCCTTCATCGCTAGATACAAAATGAGTGCACAATATACTTTTATCATCATCATCATCTACCCCTTATCCCAAGTGTTTGAGGTGGGCTACATGAATCTTATTCCATCATTTTGCTCATAGGTTCAAGATTCATAGCAAGATTTGATAAATTTTTACGTTGGTTACCTATCTAACATAACCCTCTTCCTCAAGCTTGGAACGAGCATAACCAGCTTGGGACTAACATGACCAGCTGGTTTGAGGAGGGTCCAAATAATGTAGAGGCCATTATGCCAAAGGGCACTTTGTCTTAAAAATAAAATAAAATAGAAGTTTAAAGTTTAAACTTGTGGTACTAATTTAATAGGGGTGCAGTTGGCTTATGGATGCATGCATCCGTAGCTGTAGAGGTAAGGTGCACATTCAAATTTTATCATGGTATATAATTTTGATGTGAAATGTTCTTAGCATTATCTCAAAATCTATTTTTATATCTAACGATAAAACTTTAAATTTAAAAAATGTTTAAAATCAAATAAATCTATAAACATATGAAAATCTTGAAAATGGATGGTATAGATAATATGTTGTAAAATGCATTATTTATGAGACTTAAAATCTTTTTTTTTTTCATGGTCATATATCTCGATGTCGAGATGATCAATCAAAGGATTTTTCGTCATTAAAACTACCGTTTCCGATGGATTTTTGAAGTGCATCCATAATTCTACATTATAAGGTTGCAATTATATAAACTTTTTCCCTTTGATAGTTGTAAAAGATACGTACATTAGATGCAGTTGAGGCTCTCATCATTATTTTTTTCACATTATAGATATGGAGAAGATGATTGGATCATCACTGCACATCAGGTACGTGTACTCTCCATATGTTTTGAGTCGATCGAAAAACAAGTCCTATGAAAGTAAGAGAGAGAAAAAAGGTAGAGAGAGAATATACAGAGAGATGAGGAGAGAGAGAGAGCAGCAACCAGTTAATCAAAGAAACTGGGAAAGAGAGGGAGAGAGAAATTTGCAGGCAGATCCAGTCCGGTTAATCAAAAATATAATGCGAGATCTGGACCCAATTGGATCCAATCAGTATAGTGTTTGGATCCAAGATTTAGACCTGAGACCTGACCCGTAGGGTCCAAGTTTTGGTACCCATACTTGGGTCAGGTCTAGCCATCAGGCCCGGGTCGGTTCAGGTCCATTGCCACCCCTAATTTTGCTGCAACCACCAAGGAATGCGTGTGAGACGGGTGAAAATTTGAGAGAGAAAAAGATGTGGCAGTAACCTTTAACACGGTTTTATATATTAGCAGTAACCACCACGGAATGTGAGAGACAGATGCAAAGTTTAACCCCTTATGAAGATGTTATATAATATATTTGCAGCAACCATTGACATGATTCCATTTTCACAAGCAATAGGAAAAGTCAACTACAACTCATCCAATTCTACAAGCAAATGAAAAGTCAAGTGGAACCCAAAAATAACCATGGTCATAAAGAACAGAACCTTGGAAATACAGAAGACAGCCAGCAAAAGTTATCCCGAAATTGAAGAATGACCATTGCTATTAATTTATATAAATAAATGCATAAAAATCGTGTTATTTGATAAACAAAACAACAGTATGTGGCCTTTTCCATACAGTATACTACCCCATCTCTTTCGAATTCTTGATATATAGATATCACTGGGCAGTCTGAAAGCTCTCCTGCTTCATTTTCGTCAAGTTATTCTCTATATTCCATAGGATGGGTCTATAGCTGCAAAGAGAGCACATAACGCAATCCACCCATAAATCTGAAGGTCAAAGAAATGAAAGGAATAATAGAAAAATGTAATGAAAGAGAGAATATTTACAGGCGGGTAAGATTGTTGTATGCTTGAATTGACTGTTTCAGCTCGGTTGACAACTGCAAGACCTCAGCACTTAGAGCTTCAGCTCTGCTTTGCGCCTTCGCAAGTTCTCCCTTTTAAGTTTACAGAAAGACAAATCAGATCTCTCTCTCACACACACACACACAAGCGTGCATGCACACAAACAAGCACGAAGCACAAAACAACATAATTATATTATCTGCTTCTTTTCATTATTTAGGCGAGTAATCTCATTTTGTATGAGCGAATAAACTTGAATACTCCCCCTTCCCATGCAAACTGGGTGTCACTTAGTTTTAAGTGTAAGACCACAAAACAATAGCTGAGTCTTTAAATCAAGCCTTTCTAAAGCTTCCTAACATATATTTCAGTATTCATTTATATTTATTGGGCTAACTGCTTTGAAGGTGAAGCTATAGTCACCATCAGTAAAGAATGGGGGCAAAAATTCCAAAAACAAGAATAGAAATGGCTACTTTGCTTGAGGAGCTAACCTTTAATCTCAAGTTTTCAGTTACATACTTTTGCTCGACTTCTGAACCTAACTGGTCTTCATTGGTAGCAATATACAACGAACCAGCTTGTTCATTTCTTAGTTTATCCAGCAAACCACGAAGCTCTTCATTTTGCTTCAAACAATCCTTCACCTACAGAGAATCAAGAAAAGAATGAATTACCAAGCAAGGGAGCAAATAAAATTCTTTTTCAAATGCATTGAGCAGTATTATCCTCTGTATATATCATGCATGCCTTGTGCCTGGCCATGGCATATAATAAACAACCAGGCTCTCCACCATCCATTCTCAAAATAGATAGTGGACATGAACCGTATTTCTAGGGTGAATGTCCATTGTTAGAATAGGGTTCATCCTGTTGTCGGTTTTGAGAATGGGCAGTAGATGCCGAGGCTGTATATTGCACACCACACATTGTTTACGTATAGTTTCAGGTATACATTCTCTATGACCAATCGAATCATTTAACAAAAAAACATAGCAATTAAAGTCCTTCTGTAACTTCACTATGCAAGCAACACAATAAAATTGGTAGCTAAACCTCTTTCGCATGCACTCTTGAATGTGTATATATTGTCTAATGAGTAACAAGAAACCACTGTATAATGGCACACTACCTGGTTTTCCCACTGAGCAGCAACCTCTGTGGCATCCATATAAGAATTTGATAGGTTTGAATTCTCCACAAATAGCCTCTCAATCTCCCAAGATTGTGAATCAATCTAAAAGCAAGAAAATAGCTTGAGTGTGCCATTAGATAATTAATGTGCCTGATTAGCCATAATAATATTGGTGTTAAGCAGAGGGTTAAAAGTGGACTCAGGACTAACCCGAATCAACTCCTCGAGACTGCCTAGTCAGGCCAGTCTTGGTAAAACTCACTTGATTCTTCTAAAACTCAGCTGTCTACGGAGTTGACTCAGATTAAGCTATAGTGGGTCCTGATCTGAGTCCGTGGTTTTAAACCATGATTAAAAATATCACATGAAAAATGAAACCCAATAAAATAGGAAAATTATTACAAAAAGGCAACCTCAGATAGAAGCTTCTGTCTACTACTCTCCAGTCTCTCAACCATCACAGCCATCTCATGCAACTGCTTCTCAAGCCTCTCCTTATCTTGCTGCCAAAAACAATGAAAAAAGAAGAATGAAAATTCTTTCTATCAAGAATGAAAATTCTTTCTATCAAGAGCACACAATAGTAGCAAATAAAGATGTGGGGCATGTTGCACTAGGAATACCATGCTAATTGGACTCAAGGTTGAGTTTAATTGGTTAAGATGTTGACAATTGCAACCCTACATCCCAAGTTTGAATTATATCACTGAACTACACCAGAAAAAATAGAATACCACGGCTAATTTGACACGGACTTGTCGACTTTTGACAGTTCTTAGATTTCTAGCACCAGGACTCCTCAGGACCCCTCATCATATTTACTCCTGATTTTGGTATTTTCAATATTTAGTCTCTTACAAAGAAAATTGCAAATTTACTATATGAGATGGTTTGACACTTTCCTTCACACCTCACACACATTGTGATAGGTATCGTCGCTCCATCTTCAGCAAACTTGACATCCCTGATTCTTTATTGTTCCCATGGTTAAGAACATCTGTTCTTTCGATAACACAATTTATTATAGAATTTTAGTGTTTCTACGACTCTGGACATCAATTGCAGACTAAGGATCATTGAACCAAGAGGGGATTCTAAAAGCACAACCAATGTGGGCAGGTTTACATTTGAGAAGATGATAGGATCTACGTGTTTGTAACCTCCTGGTCACCACAAGCATACAGCTCACCATCAGCCTGTGAGGTATCATAGTTATTTATTCTTAAACTGCACAGATTTTTTTAACATATTAAGCTGCATGGTTCTTGTTTAATGATTTGATAACTTCCCCCAGAACAATCAAGTAAAATTATATTAGTAATAGTAACATTGATGGTGATGGTGATGGTGATGGTGATGGTGATGGTGATGCTAATGCTAATGCTAATGATAATAATAATAATAATTATAATATGCTCCCCCGAGGACTTTAAAATATGTCAATAAGGGAATTATACAGCACCAATTTGGCCAATGCACCTCTCGATAGAGCTTACGCATTCTGAAGTGTTTAGACCCCCACCCACACCATTTTATATCAATTCCCTGAACTATATTACTTATTAAGAAGAGTGTAGTCGAAGCAATGAATAAGCCACCCTTGCTTTTAAGGATATCACTGTAAAAAGGAATTCTTCAACAATTAGCATGGCCATATTTCTCATACACAAAATGGGTTGGTAAAATGCAAATATTGGTAAGTTTGCATATATATGATCTCTAGCAGTTTCATGCGCACTTAAAAGCTTATGTCTTCAACACAAGTGCGTCTAATCAAAGCCAGTCATAGCTAGCATATCTTCAAAGGTTCACCGTTCGCATTAGTGTTTTAAAAATCAGCTAAGTCAGCTCAGATTCAGCCAAGTTACTTGGGCTCAGGCAGTGGCCAGGCCCGAGTTGTCCGAGTAAGGGGTCCAACTTAGGGATCTTAAAAAAAAAAATATCAACAACAATAAAAAAATTCAAAAAATTAAGAAATCTATTTGTAACATGTTTATTTATGGGTTCTATTATTTTGGCAAAGATTGGAAAGTATTTTGGCCATGAATACTTATTTTTACATTTTTTCCCCTTTTTTGGATCATTTCAGAAATAGAACCGGTCACAACGGATTTTTCAAAATCTATTCTTTTACTGTTTTTTTAACCTTATTTAGACGTGTTTTATTTAATCCTACTTTAAACATATATTTCCTATTTTTTTGTTTTATTTTTTTAAAACTTTTTTTCTGCTACAGTACTCAGACTAACTTGGGCCGAGTTGCTCAGACTCTGCCGAGTACTCAGCTTGGGCATTTAGGTCCGAGTCATTCATTTGAACACTGGTTTGCATCTTCGTCCATTTGAGTGTGTTTTGCATACTCTCAGCCAAAGATCCAAAAGCAAAAAGGTTATTTTTCTCTGCTAAAGCGGTTAATGCATGGGGCTACTCTACTATGACCCGTACCCCCAACTCTATATTACTAGCAAGGGCGTATGAGCTATTGTTAGATTTAGATGAGTAGTAAATGATAAATTTTGGGTGCCTTTTTTATTTTTTTGGGTTTACGGATGCGTACCCCAAAGAAAAAAATATCTTCACAGACTTACACATAAAAAATAAATATACCAAAAAATAAAATATACAAATCCCTCACATGAACTGCAGAACTCCATCAAACCCCTTTACCTATAACACTACTTTAAAATATTTGAGGAAAATATATTCATACACAGATGTATAATAAGTATATCTAACAGAAGCATCCCAAACACCCTTTATTGTAGATATGAACAGTAAAATTGATCACAACTTCGGCTGATAGAGAATCTGCTATTCTTCTTCCTCATCGAGAAAGGTGGATAGGGGTATGGGTATTCTATGTTCTACATGTTCATATGGCTATAAGTATATTTCCAAAGCATCGGGGAGAAAAACAAACATTTAAAATAAGTCAAAGGAATGCCAGTTCAGCTAATATCAGAGTACCAAATTTATTTTTTAATAGAAGATTCAGGAACAAAGAAAATTTCACTAATTTGTTTTAAAAATTATATCTATTGTCTTTTCATTGTATTATTATGATGCATTTACCAAACTGTTCAAAGGTAAGATTAGATGCTTGGCATCATAGAAAAAACAAACAGCGGCCATGCATCCAATCTTACCTTCTCATTAAACCTCAAAAACACAATGAAATAGTGATGCTTTTCACTTAGAACCTCTGATTGTTCTTGGGTTTGATAAGCCATATTCTTTGCCTCTAATCATTTCTCTCATTGTAGAAGAGAGAGAAATTGGCCAAGGGACCAGAAGAAATTCATTTAATCAATAATGCAGCTGATCCTATTGCCGAGCTTACTCACGAACCTCCCAAGAACTATTAACTCAACCCGTGGTTCCAAAGGGAACTCACGTTTTACATGTACTATATTTAAATATAGAAATCATGTTTTTCTCTTCTTTCATTCCTTCGAATATGCTCGAATTGTTCAACAACCTGTATTGATTGTTTGGGTTCAGATTCTATATAATGCTTCATTATTTTTTCAGCAATGAAGAATGCTTACCTACATTTTAAGTCTCTTACTTTTATGATTTCCTTTTCTAAACGAAAATATAAAGTGACCTGTATAATACAACGATGAAAAGAACAACTGGAGGATAGTACTTAGAAATCTGTGCTAAAAATTTAGAATATTAGCTTTCTTTTCCTCTACATGTTCAACTAAAAATCACAATTTCTACCCACCAGGTTTCATTCATTCCAAATAAATAGAGTTTAAAGATTTAAAATCATTCAATCTGATGATTCCTATAAGCTTCATTCTTTAAGAATGGTGTGCGAACATGAGATCCAGAACTTATTTCTTTGCATGCCTATTTTAGATAACTGGATTTGTCTGTTATGCTTTACCTTTCCATAAAATAGGTGTGATTCTTTACAAGCGCACAAATTGTCCAGTGAAATAGACAGCCGAGTATACTAATTGCATTAGTTATTGATCTTATTCATCTATATATCAATGTATATTTTTGTGCCATGCTTGATGATGGGAACCACTTGCTACTTTCTAGCATAAGATTATCATCATTTTCATAAAAAATTAGTTCACCACAGGAATGAATGGTACTATAAGATTTCACCACAGGAATGAATGGTACTATAAGATTTCATCACTCAGCACTAAAATATAGTTGTTTGCTGAGCATCTAGTTTGTACTATCTCAATATAATCACTGGCTTGGCGATTTAATTTACTTTAACCTTGATTAATGGTGTTGGCATTCTAAGTTTATCTTTGGTATCCTTTTTGGGTGCTGCCTGTGGTACCATAGTTGTTTATAAATTTGTATTTATGTGTGAATGTAGCTCTACGTCTCATACATATTCCCAAATAGAGGTATAACTATTGTGTGTCATGGAAATTTTATGATTGCTTCTTTTCTCTTTACCTCTAGTCTTATGGAGAAACATTTTCTTAATGCATGATTTACATAAAAACTTTTGTACAGACAATCTGACAAACAAGCACCAACTGGGAGGACTGCTACTTTTAACCCCTTTTATCCGACAAACAAGCCCGAACTGGATTTCTGTCAAAAGACAGATCCCCTTGCTATTAACCCCTAAACTACCCCTCTCTATACAAAATGTCTATTATACTTATCCTAAAGATCCCAAATCAAGCCTTGGATGCCCAAAAGACCTCAGGCATTTTTGTCAGTTTCGGAACCCAAGAACAAAGTCATAAATAACTAGCCCATAATATAAGGGCATATGAGCAGGACTACCCATAATGCCCCTAAAGAGTCCAAATTTGTCCCAAGTAGCATCCAGGACCATAATATGAAGGATAAGGCATATCTGTCGATTAGAAATTGGGTTTGGGCTTGAGTGGTTAGCAGCTGATGTTTAGCAGCGCTATATCTCAAGTTTGATTCCTACCACTGAACTACCCCTCACCACCCAAAAAAAAGGCATATCCATCTATTACCTAACAATTTGGGATTAAACTGTCATTTTGCAAGAAGAGGCAATAAAAGAAAATAAAATATCATTCAGCTTCATAAAACTAACATTGTTGTTGCCTCATGCCATATCCTTGTATCATTTAAGTTTACTAGAGAGAAATTATATCCAATGGACCACAAAAATATGAGAGAGAGTGATATGTATAAGGAAACTCATTTAATACCTAAGGGATCATAAGATATTCATTGAATAAAAAAACGTCGCTCAACCTATTGCTGAGCCTACTTACGAACCTCCCAAGACTTATTCGTCCGATCCGAAGGGAACTCACGCTTTATATACTACAGATACATGTCATAAGTGAAAGCATAAAGGTTCGGTGGAACAGTGGAAAACTTATCGGAGCGCTGGTAAAAGAACCCGAAATCTCTCATTGCTCGTAGACTTAATTCTACTGTAGTTCTTGGACAAGTTGGTGCACATACTGCATATAGTGAGTAGAAGCCAGAGTTATAACTCTCCCACAAAGCAGCAAATGGCTAAAATGATTATTATCTATGTAGCATCAACATACCCCAAAATGGTGAGGGAAGCTCAAGCCTGGGTATCCGGATCAAAATAATGATGTTATATAAGGGGCAAAGGACTTTATATTCCCTAGCAAGTAAAATGTTAGAACAGCACTGACAAGAAAAGAAATAACACTAAAACTATAAAGTTATTACTGCAATCAAATTTATACTGGCACTAGTAGGATGTACTGCTTAAATACTATAGTTAATTATAGAATGAACACAACGGTCATTTTCTGACAAAGAATTAGTCTGAAACTAGAGTCTTGCATATTACCAGTGAAAATGGTTTTCGAGCAGGTTCTTCTACGTCTTCTGCATCACCAAAATAGGCATGGGTTAAAGTGACATATATCCTAATATGAGTATGGAGTCAATGAACCAGCAGTGGCCAACAACAGCATGCAGAATGAAACTCTAAGCTCTCTATGGCTAGTCTTAATGAGCTATGTTAGCAATCAGTGCTAAGTTTCTCTTCTTTTAGAGGCAAACCATAACAACAGCTCATAACAACAAAAAGCATAAGCTCTTGTTAAAAAGAAAAAAAAGGACGTATTTCATTCTCTTGTGCAAAGTGGGAATGTGGTTTGTTGAAAATAGCTTTATAAATATAGAGGCACCACCTAAGTTTTTCACAAATCAAGATACTAACCTGAAGCCTTATTTGTTAAAGTTGATATTTTTTCTTCTAGACCTTGCCTTTCAGCCATAAGTGCTGACTTTTGAACTTGTTCCTCAGCCAGTCTCTGCTGCTCTTGTTGTCTCAGGAGTGACTCTTGCTACATAGTTGACCAATTACACCATAAGCTAAGCAAAAAGCATATGACTCAAGAAATAGAAGAAAATCTATTAGAAGAAAATCTATTACACAACTTCCACCTGCAACTGTAATCTCAGTTTGGCCATTTCCTGTTCCATGGCTTGTATTTGGTCCCTCATGGTCACAATAGAGGGGAGGCTACTATCAAAATGCCTCTCACCTTGTTGCTGTAGTAAGTTTAACTCTGCTCTCAAGGATGCAGCATCTTCTTCAGCCTATTGAAATTGGATCCAGAATCAAGCATTTTGCTACTTTCAGAGTAAAGGGAAAGCAAAAAATAATATAAGATAATCCAATGGACTATGGAAACAACCTAGTGCATTAGGTCATTGCTGTCTATTGAGAGGGAGTGGAACTGAGAGTTGGGTCATTTCCTATGCTGGTGTGTACTATTCTCTATCCATCACCAACATCATGTCCATAGATGGCAATGACCCAAAGGCCTATGTTTTCCATGGTCCGTTGGACTCAGTGTTTCAAAAAGCGGACCGCCCAACTCCTGGAAGGCCGCATAGGCGGTCCAGAAGGCCTGGGCGCATCGCCTAGGCCCAGGCGGCCAAATTAGGCGGGTATCCTCGAGCGCCTGCCTAGGCACCCGGGAACCCGCCTAGGCGGCTTCCCAGGGCCTGCGCCCTGCCCAGGGACAGAAATGCCGCTCGTTGAGGCTATTTTTGGGTCCATTTGGGGTGTTTTTTTTAATACTAAAGGTGCAAAATTGTGGGTTTTATGTTTCAAATGAACCTAAAACCCATTAGAGGCTATTTTAGTGAGAAAAACCCAAAAAAAAAAAATTTACTGGGCCGCCCAGGTTCTGGTCGCCCACCTAGGCGCTGGGTGGCTTGGACCCCCCCGACCGCCTAGGTGCCGCCTAGCGCTTTTGAAACACTGGTTGGACTATATATACTTTTGCAAGAGATAGAACTATCAATTTATTGGTAGCAAGCAATCAGCTTCATAGTTCATACTCTATACTGCTCCTCTTCTGCCTCTCTTACACGCCTCTTAAGTGTTCGAAGTTGAGCTAACAGATCTTCCTATACAAAAACATCATTTGATATGAAACAAGTAAATATGTCCAAAACTATTTCATTTTCACAATTAAGGGAATTATCTAATAGCAGTTTTCACAGTATATACCCGTCCTACAGCCACAGCATCCTTTTCCACAGAGACATCATTAAGAGCTTTTCTCAGTAATGGTATTTCATTTTGTTCCTGTCGTCAAATCATGAGGAAAGTTATAAATGGACAAGCAGGTATATGTAAGTTTGTATAAATAAATAGGTGCAGGTCAAGCCATATACCAAATTGTCGATGTGTTCTTGTAACCTATCCCGCTCTATATCCCTCATCTCAAGCTGAAAATTCCGGGTAAAATCTCAGAACAAATGACTTCATTTCCAGGATAACAAACTTCAAATTTATCATCAAGCATGTTCCAAGTTCCATAGTCGGTTCAACCATGAAATTTCAAAAGCTACTGATTACCTGTGAAACCAATTTTTCATTTTCATCTTCCATCTCAGCAACCTTTCTCTCAAAATATTTAACTTTAGGTAATAAACCGTCGTAGTCCTGCAGTAACGAGACACACCACAATCTCCAATATAAACCATCTTCATTAGTATTGTATTCCCTATTTCTTTTTCTCTCTATCTGTACGGGATAAATTGATTGACGCTGTATATAATGAAGTGCATGGGGTGAAAGAAAAATGTCCTACGTTAAATATCAATAACCAATTCCTTGATCATCTCAAAATCTTTTATACTCAATGAAGAAAAATCAGCACACACATATTGTCAAGAGAACAGATATACCTGCTAAACAAAGACCAACGGGGCACAACATTTTCTTGAATGTACCAAATAATAACACGTGCCTTAGTTTACCGGAAGAATGAGACAAGACTAATTTAGTTTTCCACAAATATTCATTCTTACAGAACTGATGAAACACAATCAATTATCAAAAGAAAAAGGGGCTAGTTTAACAAAACCAAATGACTTCTCCACCCAAAAATGAGACACACCAAGAGGATCCTAGAAAGCATTGACACCCAATAACACTCCTAAAAGAAAGGAGGAACCATATGTCTCAAATCAAAACCCTATCCACACCTCACCCAATTTCTAAACATATCTAAGTAAAAAAGAAGTCTCTCAGATACTGAACTACATATTTACACAGAGATTCCTTCCTTGTACAAACAAGAAAACTTGTGACCATATATTGCTCAGTAAATGAGAATCCTCATATAATATCATATATATTTTTAAACTCCAATAATTATTGTGCTACCCATTGGACAAATATACCCAATAATTCAAACAGAAAGAAACATTTCTGGTCCAACAATCCATCCTCCTGCAACTTACTTAAATAACCCTAACATTCAGCCTACTAACTTACGCTTTGTAATTTGTAGTGAATTTCCTCACAATGCACACATGTTCTAATGAATTTTAATCATTGATCACGGCAATGAAGCAACTCGTAAAGAAAGCATGAATCAATCCAATAGTTGGATTGGGCAGCTTTCAAAACTAAGCCCCGTTATTTTTCATGAATTCTGGTGAATGGTGATTTTTCAGACCCTGGTTATGGATTTCATGTACTTGCAAGGGTTAAACAACACATAAAACAAGGAGAAAGTCAATCACTGAATAAATTTGCAGCAACATCTTCAATATGAGAAAAAAGAAAAAAAATATGTTTTTTCAACCTTAAACTATTTGATTGGCAAATTACAATTTAGTGTGATAAAGAAAGAAGTGATAATCAAGTTCATTGAATCAAGAGAAATTAACTTGTGAACCAAGAATAAGATTGATGAGGATTATGGTAATTATAGTATCATACAAAACAAGGGATGAATTTGGTCTGGAAATGAAGGGTATGCAAGCTATTGGAAAAACAAGAGCATGAAATTATCATTGAGTTGAATTGATTCTATATCGAGTTTACTGCTGACATCTAAGGATGCACATTTCAGCCATGGAAACAACTAACAAGCGCCTCTCTCTCTCTCTCT